ATATGGTTGCAGGAAAGAGCCCTAAACCTAGGAAGATCTCCAGAAGAGCCCTGTTCCTAGCAACTTCCTTACACTAGTCAAACTCTCTAAACCTCAGTCTCACCTGTAAAATTTGTCTGGCTTATGTAAACAGAGACATATTAGTGAAATGGCAACTGTTTTCCAACTGGACAACACAAAATAGCGGTTAAAGTTCAGGCTTCAAAGTCTGATCTCGGTTTGAATTTAAGCTCCATCACTTATTTAATGGCTGCGTGACCCTGGTAAAATTATCTCTGCACTTCTGTTTCTTCATTATGGGGAATAATAATACCTACTCCTTTAGGACTGCTCTGAAAATGAAATGTTCCTGTAAGATGGCGTGTTACTAAATATCAGCTACTATTTAGAAAGTCCCTGGGCATTCCCTAAATTCCTAGCTAGTGAGACAAGCTCCGCCCCCGCCCCGTGAGACTTGTTCAAGGCCACAAGCCCAGCCTTAAGGTCAGACTGGACTCTAAAGGGACGATTCTGGGGAGGGTGTCCGGCCCCTGAGGCCCCCCGGAAATTTTTAAAAGAGATCTTCCTGCGCGAACCTCCGGAAACCTCCAGGCCACTCACCAGCTATCACCCAGGTTACTAAGGGGAAGCCTCGTGCGACCTTTATTGCCCATTTTTATTGTACTGTTCATTGAATGCTTCCATTATTTTTCTGTTCTCTTCTGTTTTTATTATCTATGTCTTCTTTAGATCCACTGAGAAATTCAAAATTCAAATTTATGATTGTTGCCATTTTTTATATCTGAGAGATTATTTCTATAGTCTGATGGGATTGTTTCTTTACTTTGCTTCAGTTGCTATCTTTTCTCAGTGTTTGTGACATCTAAGTTCTTCTATGTCCTTTCCTCCTGAGCTTTTTCTGGGTGGGCTGGAGGTCTGAGATTGCTTTTCCTTCCTTTGTGTTGAAATATCTGAAGCTATTCCAGTGTTCACCCTAGCTCAGCAGTAATGGTGGAGTGTCGCAGCATGAATTACACAGGCTCTTGCTTTCCTTGGTTCAATGAGGGTTTCATGATGGTAGCTGGGGTAGAGCTGCAGCTCCACAAGGCTCCTGCAGTGATTGAGGGGGCGAGCTGAGCTTTGCAATTCTCCTGCAATGATAGAAGTTTGGATAGGTTTCACCAAGCCTCCCTTGGTGGTATGGGTGCAGGTCAGGTTCTATACCCCCGTAGCTTTCTTAGGCTTTTTCCAAGGTTTCTGGACAACACAATGAGTTCTAATAGCTTTTAATATGCTGTTCTTGTGCTGAATTTCTGGAATCTTGTTTGTTCTATATCTGGCATGTATTTATTTTATGTATGGCACATTGGATTTCTATATGTTTCCCTTATTTGTGTGTCATATTCTTTTTCCCATGTTTGTGAAACTTACTGCTATGACTTCTGCAAATAACCTTTTAATGTCACTTGTATTGACTCCTGTTTTTTCCGTTGAAACCTATCTTTTTATGTTGATTTTCCTTTGTGCGGTCTTGCAGTTATCGAATCCTTATTTCTTGGTTCCTTGTTATTTTTAAGAGATCATTCCTTCCATGACCACTAACTGCAGTGTTGTCTTCAAGGTCTGAAAGTTTTTCTTTATCTTCAAGTTCTGAAAATTTTGTTGAAGCAGTTTTGCCAGTTTTTGATGGAATTTTCAATTTCCTGAACCTGTTTATGCATTCTAATTCTTCCTTATATTGTTCTTTTAACTTCCCATATTTTATACGCTCTATTTTGATTTATGTCATTTTTAGAAGTGCTGACAAATTCTTTCATTATCATTGTTTTTTTAATATGAGAGATTATTTCTGATGTATTTCCTTCTATAGCAACTGAAGTTTTTTTTTTTTAATTTCAGTTGCTATCATTCAGAAATTCCAGGTGTTAGACTTCCAATTTCTTCTATGTTAATATCTCTTGGTCATGTTCTGGGTAAACTGTAAGTGTAAGATTGCATTGTGACCCCTTGTTTTGACATTTCAAAATATTTTTAATTATTTTCTGTGGTGATCTTTGCTAATTTGTGAGTAGATTTTATATCACTAGTATTGAAGTGTTTCCTGGAGTAATCTACATTTCAAGGATATCTTCTATGCTAAGAGATTCTTAGTTTGTATTCTTCCCAACATCCTACCTTTCCAATTAACTGAGTGTGGGATATTAGTTTCTGTTTGGTTCAGTTCCCAGTGTTTTGGTTGTGATGAGGTTATTACCCCAGAGCTTCTCAATATTTTTAAACATTGGGATAATAACTAACTACAACAGATATGACAGCCCAGCTACAGTCGCACAATTAACAATAAGCACAATTTATCGTTTGACTAGCAATGTCAGAAGTTGTTGAATTGAGCCTTTTACAGCTCAGCATATTAATGTGGCTTTACTTTTTATACCTCTTTTGTATACTTTTCTGCTGGATGGTTAAGACCAAGATAAAGCAAGACCTATATAACAAGAAATGTAATTTTTGTGTCTCTCAAGGTCAGTGATATCCCCTCAAGATGAACCCTGAAACTTTGTATCGCAGATTGTACATCTTTTGTCAGTGTGAGCCATGTGGATGAGTCATGGCCATTGCTTCACCAATTTGCTCTCTCTTAAAGACTGAGAGAATGTGCAATTAAAACATTTAAATGGCAATGTATACCTACCTTTGACAAAACTGAACAAAAAAGGGAGATATAAGTGAAGGACCATTTGTAGTAAAATATATAGATAGATAGATAGATAGATAGATAGATAGATAGATAGATAGATAGATAGATAGATATACAGCTACTTTCTCTTAATTCAGTGAGAATAAAGAATTGTACTAATAGTGTTTGGACAGGATATCATGTCTGCATGTCATACTATGAATAATTGCTATAAAGAGAACCATATGCAATGTGTAAATTATTGTAACTGTCCTAATAACCTGTTTTGAAACTATCTCATTGCTATTGGTTTTTCAGTAAAAATTTAAAAAAAAAACCAATAAGCACAATTTACATGTGGATGAACTATGGTAACTATTGATTTTCTATTTTAAATAGATAAATCTTTTTTTTTAGAAACTTCAAAATGTTTACAAACTGGCCAAGAATATAAACATTGCTATAAGGAAAAAAATGCATACCTTGAAGACATAGAAATGATTTAAATAAATGAAGATACATTGTTCATACATACATTTAGGAGCGATAGATTAATATTGTAAAGGAGTCAGTTCTCTCCAAATTGATTTGTAAATTCATTGTAAATCTAATCTAGATCCAAATTTAAATTTCTTTTTTATTTTATTTTATTTTTTTAGAAATTATTTATTATTTTCCCATAATTTTCTTGATAAACAAATAGCAATTGTTTATCAGTTTCAAATCAAATTGGTAGGACAGTTTCAATAATTAACACATTGCTTACATTCTTCCTAGTGGTTAATTGCTGTACAGGATGCGGACATGATATCCTATTTACAAACACTATTAGAACAAATCACTGTATTCATTAAGATACTGTAACTATATATCTATCCTAACCATTTTGAATACACAGATACAAAATGGACATTCATCTGTAGACCCTTTTTTTTCTTAAGTTCCATCATTTAAATATTATAGGTATGTTAACTCAGCAAAATATTCTAAAAGACTCCAGTAGCCCATAATAGTATTGGGTCTTCTGCTTGATTGGCAATGTCAGAAATTGTTGACCTGAGTCCCCTGCAGCTCAACATAACAGTATAGAGAATTCTTGACATGAGTTGAAATGTTCCTCAGTCAAGGAGCCACTGGAAAGGGGGAAAAACAGGAGGCCATTGCAGTGCATTTAATTATAAGCCATTAACGTCTTTGCCACCTGAACAGGTCCTGTGGCATTCTTAAAGTGCATTCAGAAAATGTGAAGTCACTCAGGAAACTAAATGGCATTAAAAGCTACACTGCCCATATTATAAGAATTTTCCTTTTAATTTTGCAAAATCTTCTGATATTGATGACTCATATAGTTGCTTTGTGAACAGTGAGTTATGCAGTTGACATTGTGGGTATTAGAAGCTTTCATTCATTATTTAATGTTTCTGCCTAACAGAACCGAATTTATTTTTATAGTATTTTATTTTGGAGGTACCATAAAAAGGCTTGAAGAATTTGCATTTGTCAGGCAGGTGCTGTGTCAACAGAGTTCTGTTCCTGTCCCCAAACTTTATTTACATGGGTTTGCATGGATTATTGCTTCCAGAAAATCACTGACATTTTTGGAGCAGGCTGATATTTTAGTCCTTAAACTAAATATTCATGTGTGGTAATTCAACAGACACTAGTGTTCAAATGGCTTTATATGAAAGGAATTACAGTAGTTTAAGGACTTTTGGCCACTCATATTTTGTGTCTTTCTCCTGGAGCTCTGTTCATATAGGATGATGTGTCTCTTTCAGTTGCATTGCTTTCTAAAGAAAGTCCAATTTAACACTCCTGATGGAGACAAAGTGAGCTTGTATGACAGAAGGAAACTGGATTCACAGTATGACATTCTCAATTTTTGGAATTTTCCAAAAGGCCTTAGACTGAAGGTTAAATTAGGAAATATTTCTTCATGTGCTCCACACAGTTGTAAAATAACATTATCTGAGGATACAATAGAGTGGGCCACAAGAATCACAGAGGTGTGTTGGACCTAACCATGACCCATTTCCTTAACCAGAAAAAGCTACATATTGTCAGAGGATGTTGTCTCAAATATTGCACATGAAACAATTAAACTTTATCCCAGTGGAAATTGAATAGCTGAATTTTCAACTTGAAAAATTCTGGTTTATCAGCATTTGAAGATTGAGAAACACATGCATTTATTTATTTATATATTTGTAGATATATGTTTCATCTTGTGAAATAAATTTGACATTCATCTAGATAGTTTTGTGTAGGTATGAAAATTAAGTACATCTTTTAGCTCTGAAAGGAAAATGAAAGTCTAACAAGTTTCCCCCATATTTTTCCGTAGACTCCCCGCTCAGTATGCAGTGAGAGTTGCAGCCCTGGATTTAGAAAAAGCCCTCAGGAGGGAAAGGCTGCCTTCTGTATTGATTGTACCCCTTCTGCAGACAATGAGATCTCCAGTGACACAGGTAAGATCATTCCTTTTGATGAAATTCCCACTCCATTTTTATATTCACTACATCCATCTTCAAAGTGAAAAATGTCTTGTAGAGAACAACAATGATAATTTTTTTATTGGTTGGTTAATTTTGCAAGCCTACATCATCTAATCTAAGCAATTACTTCGAAAACAATATGTAACACACTATTTTTAATTTCTTATCTTGTTTTGAAATTTTGCATCATTTTTATTTTTAATCATTCCGAAAATAAATTTTAAAAGTTTTCTTTTAAATTTCAAATTATTTTTATATTGAGTGCTATTGCTTGTTTTGCAAAATACACTTTTCCTTTGAAATTAATTTTTATTTTCCTTTTAGCCCAATCTTATTTTTTTTATTTATTTTTTTTTTGCTTTTCATTGTGGGCAAAGGAACCAGCATATGGTCTACCAATGGCGTATGTCCCTATCTGGAGGGGGTGAGTTGAGTCAGAATACCCACAGCTATGCTGAGACTGCCTCAAAGATGTGCTAGACCTGTCTACATTCACGGATTCCCTGGGGAACATTCAAATAGTCTAAGGGCAAATGTCATGTTATTAAAGTACAGATCATATGAGGATGAGGGGTAAAACTTCTCTATAAATTTATTGAACCTTGAGATTGTAGTGCTGTACATCATAAATACAATATATCATGACAAGGTAGAATCACTTTCTAACTGAATATTATCCAATTTGTTTCTATGCCTGATAGATGTTTCAATTTCAAAATATAAGCACTGCAATTTCATTTATTTTTTAATCAAGACTATTAATAATCTTTATTACAGTCATTAAAAGTTAAATTCTAGGCACTGATTACAATGTCACATTCTTACGCAAACTCAATGGATTTTATGATGTAGGTCTGTAAAAGACAGAGACCTCCATCTTCAATACTGGATATTGTATGCTTTGCATCCCTTATTGTGTTTAGAACAAAGATTTATGACACAATGATAATTGGGTAATTTTTCATATATTCCCATTTAAACTTTCATAAAGATGCAACGTTTGCATGCTATATAGTCAAGATTGTATGTGCATATAGAGTCTGTTTGCACAGATGTTTTTCTCACTGCTGAGACAATAACCCAATACCCATAACTTCATCCTTAAGAGAGAACAGTCTATTTTGACTTATAGTTTATACAGTTTTCAATCTACAACTGATTGGCTCTGAGGCAGGGAGGAAGAGCAGTAGAGAGCTGCTTGAGCCAAGGCAGCAGGAAGCAGACAGCTCAGAAGAAGAGAAAGGTAGATACATCCAGGTCACAACCCGTGACCCTCTACTTCTGACCAGACATCTTCTTTCAGCATCACATCCAGCTATAAACTCATCTGTGGAGTTCTCCGCTGATAAGTCTTATGCCCTGTGATCCAATCACTTCCCAAAAGGTCCACCTATGTGTACATGGGGTTTTGGGGGTGGGAAACCATAACAGATATTATTTAAAAATAGCAGTTAATGTGTAGAATTTTCACTTTGACTAACTGTATGCTGATATCTGTGATCTAAGTAACTACACTGAGGACAGCAATATGTAATACAAAAATCATGCTTGAATACCACTTATCCTGGTCTACTAAACATATACCATTTTGAATGTCCTTTCAATTATTATGATATTCTCTTTAAAATAAATTTTTAAAAAGTAAAAGTGAAAAGAAAAAAAAGATTTATTGAAATCAAGTGTTAATATTCAATTATGTGCCCAATCTTGATCAAATAACCATAACATGTCTGTTAATCTGAACAACATAATTGATGATAAAGATAGGTAATACAACAACCATTGATAATTTTCTATACTTGTTTTGCAAATCTATGTCTTGTATATTGTTGTATGTTACCCTGTTTTGTCTTTCTATTATTTCTTTTTTTCTTTTTGTACTCTTCAAAATAAAATAACAAAAATTAAAATTAAAAATAATGCATAGCCATGACTATGATTATTAATCACGATATAGCCAATAGAATGGATTGAATCTATCAGGTTTGTAAAGCATATTTCTGGGTGCATCTGGAGATGATTGCATTGTAAGCCAGCAAACTGGGAAGGGAAGGCCCACTGCAGATGTGGATTGGTTATAACTTTAATGCAATAAATAGGGAAAGATGCAGGAAGTGTGCCCACCTTGAAGAGCCCAGACTAAGTGCAGGGGCCCTTTGGTGCCATCATCTATGGACATTTGTCTCGACGTCTCTGTTCTTCAATTTCCCAAGGCAGACCTGCACGGATGCTTCCTCTGGGAGACTTTAGGCCTGGCCTTGGGCTGGTCCTGCATATTAGAAACTTCTTGTTCAGTCGCTTCGGTATTCTCAGACTGAGAGCAGTCATGGGCTTCTCTGGGTCTCCAGCAGCAAGGCCATTGCAGACTCTCCTGCCTCAGATCCTGTCAGCCTAACCAAGAAATCTCATTGCATAATTTTAAAAATTTAGTTATATTTTTCAGAGATGGTATGCCACGAGCAAACTCCATTTATGAAATATAATTAAATGTACTAGTTTCCGGAGGAAGAAAAGTGAAGCCTAATACTAGAGACTATAAGAAAAAATACATATCTTTGTGATTTATAAATAAACAATAAAAGTATTTCTTGACAAATTGGGAAAAAATGTTCTCACTAAGAAAAAGTATGATATATATGGGATCCAACAATATACTTTATGATTTGTGGTCCGTTTTTTAAATTAAGCTAATTTACAGTTTAAGTCTATAATTTAGATATGAATAATGATCACAGTTATCATAGAGAATGTCTATCTGTAATGATATATCCTGATTTCTTTATCTGCTCCTATCACTTCCCCTGCTTCAACCCTCTTTTATCCTTATTTAAAAATCTTTGTTTTTATTTTATGGTTTTATACTCATTTTTTAAATTTTCCTATCCATTGCGTCTTTTCTTTTCCAACACCTCCCCTCTACAGTTTCCCTTTCCATTTGGACAAATGCTGTCTATTTCACAATATCTACTGTAAATTTTGCTTCTCATTTACATTTTCCATTTCTCATACCAGAGAGACAATGTGATATTTACAAATGTATGTCTTTTTTATGTATGGGTTACACAGTCTTACTACGCAGCTTGGATTATTAGTGATCCTCCCGTTTTCAGCTTCCCTATTGCTGGGATTAGGGGTGTGTGCCACCATTCCCTGTCTCTGTGGCTTTCTCAGTGCAACCAGGGGTGGTGCTGGCACAGCATTTAGTGCTGAGGCTCAAACTTTGGTCACTGTCTTTGCCTTATCAGGGGCTTCGTCCTCTGGGCTATCTTGCTCAGTGATGTTGAACATTTTTTCATGGATTCATGTGACATTTGTACTTGTTCTGAGAAGGGTCTATTCATATCAGATGTTCAGTTTAGGATTAGGTCTTTCAACTCTAGCAGTCAGATTCCTTTTTTCATTTTGTTATATTTTGTAGATGTCAGTTCTTTTTCTGAAGAGTAACCAAGGTGTTCCCTATGCTTATGTCACACTTCGGCAAGACATTACATTCCGTGTCATGGCCAATGCAATTAAACTAAGAAACACACACACACACACACACACACACACACACACGAATATGTACTGAAATGGAAAATATGAAGGATATGCATTTCTTTTGATATTAGTTTGTAAGTGTAAGACCATGGTAATTAATACATTTGTCTTGGGTTTCATGTTAATGGAACACAATACTCTTACAAAAGGGCTTTGGAGATAGCTCAGTGGTCTAAGCACTTCCCTGCAAGTGCAAGAACCTGAGTTCAATCCCTGGAACCTCATGCTGTGCTGGCCCCAGACACGGGCCTGCTTTGCTGACCACCAGAAATGATCCTGTTGGCACAAGCCAGTAATCTCAGCACTAGGGAGGCTGAGACAGGAGGATCATGATCAGTCTCAGCTGTGTAGCAAGATCCTATACAAAATAAATAGATAAATATGTTGAGAAAGACTCTTAGAAAAGTCTGTGATAATAGATACATAAAAGAAATTTTGAAATCTGATTTTTTTCAAATTTTTAAAATCACTAAATATAGAGTCCAACATTCTATAAAGACTCTGAAACATACCAACATTAAACTACTGCTGTGGTCAAGTTCTTCATTGACTGTCCCAGCACAGCCACCTGCATCTTCCAGCAGATGGCATTTGGACTTGTGTTCACTGTAGCTGGCTCTACTGTCTTGGCCAAAACCATTACTGTGGTGCTGGCCTTCAAATTCCCTGCTCCAGGAAGGAGGATGAGGCAGTTGCTGGTGTCAGGGACACCAAACGCCATCATCCCCATCTGCACCCTGATCCAGCTCACTCTCTGTGGAAAGTCAGCAGACCATAAAAACTAAATGTGAACTTTGCAGAGAGCATGTTGACAGATAGTGATGCTCAATGATGGAATTACATGACACTAAATCCTTTTTCAAATATACGCTTTTCCTGAAATTTAGGAAATTATAAAGGTTTCCTAATATGGGATTTATTATTGTATGATAACCTGGTGAATAATTTACAAAGATTTGATTTAGATAGATAGGTATTTATTACTTTGTAAAAAGAGAAAAATTTCATGGATGTGGCAGACATAAAAGGAGAATAAGTAATAACGCTTCCAAGTGCTGTTCTTATTCAGGAGTTATTCACTCAGTATTATTTGGGAGTTACTCTCCACATGGCATTCTGTTATTTTGTGCCTGGAAAGAAATGAAAAATGAGATGTGGTCACATGTCCTGGGATCCAGGGGACAGGGAGGCAGAGACAGTTGCATTTTATGTATGAAAGGAACCATGGCAATAAAGTAACATAAGGTAACCACAAGATCCTGATACAAAAAATAAAATTTAAAAGTGATGGGCCTATATCAAAGTGAAAAGCTTGAGTTCAATCCAATTCACTGGAAAACAAAAAAGACAAGGTAAAAGATTAAAAATTTCAAAGGGATCAAATTAGTTCATGTCCAATGAAGTGCTAGAAATGGACCTGTCAATCTCAAAAAGTTGCGAAACTCTGCAGGTGACAATTTTAATTTTTGCTAGATATGGGACAATGTATAACGTGTCCAGACCATCAGTATGCCCACACTAAGAAAAACCAATGTCTCCAAAAAGCTGTGACTTTTCTGGCCTTTGAAGATCCTTTGGGAAAAGCTTTGGCTGGTAGCACCCTGACTCTCACCTTTCTCACAGTTGCTGTTCTTGGGCTCTTTGTGAAGCACAGAGACACTCCCATTGTCAGGGCCAACAATCAAGCTCTCAGATACACCCTGCTCATCTCCCTCATCTGCCGTTTCCTCTGCTCCTCGCTCATCATTGTCCGTCCCAACACAGCCACCTGCATCTTCCGGCAGACCACATTTGTAGTTGTGTTCACTGTGGCTGTTTCCACTGTCTTGGCCAAAACTGTTACGCTGGTGCTAGCCTTTAAAGTCACTGCCCAGGGCAGAAGGATGAGGCAGTTGCTTCTATCAGGGGCACCAAACTTCATCATCCCCATTTGCTCCCTGATCCAACTCACTCCCTGTGGCATCTGGATGGGGACAAATCCACCCTACATTGACACAGATGCTCACTCAGAACATGGCCACTTCATCATCGTGTTCAACAAAGGCTACCTCACCGCCTTCTACTGTGTCCTGCGATACCTGAGCTTCTTGGCCCTGGTGAGCTTCACTGTGGCTTTCCTGGCCAGGAACCTGCCTGACACCTTCAATGAAGCCAAGTTCCTGACCTTCAGCATGCTGGTGTTCTGCAGCGTGTGGGTCACCTTCTTGCCCATGTACCACAGCAGCAAGGGGAAGGCCATGGTGGCCATGGAGATCTTCTCCATCTTGGCGTCCAGTGCTGGTCTGCTGGACTGCATCTTTGTCCCCAAGTGCTACATTATTTTGTTAAGACCAGATGGAAATTCTCTTACTGGTATCAGGTACAAAACACATTCTGTGAAAAAGAAGTCTGCTTATCATTAAATATGTTTGTTTTCTAACATACGGCTTTGGGCCTGACGTCAAATCTGAACCATATGTGAAGTCAGATACCAGATACTATATGCTACTATGGTCCTCATATCCTTATTATGCAATGATCCTTATTTTTCCATTAGGAAAGTGTTCACTAGAAACTGCAGTTCTCATGTCATTTTGGGTTTTTTTTTTTTGGGGGGGAAGGGTCTACAGGGTGCTCAGCATCTCACTACTAGATCCGACTTTTACTGATCCACCTATTTACAACCTCCCAAGTGCTGGGATTACAGATGTGTGCCACCACACCCAGTCGCATTTGCCATCTCAGTGCACTCCGGTGGGAGGGCAGGCAGTGTAGACCTGGGGATTGAACCCCCAGCCCCTGCATCTGCTTGCAGTTCTCATGTCTTTAAGTTCATTTTTTGTAATTTTTTTTCTCTTTTCATAATTCATTCTATTGTTTATGATTGTGATCATCAGATCCACTTTTATCTTGCCTTCCTTTTAGCTTTCTGTATATCTTTTCTCATTTTAAAAGGCAATAAATATAATCCTGTATGTCAGTGTGATTCTGAATCCTTTATATTTAGTCCATACCTAGAAATTTTAAAAGCCATTTTGATGTGATAGAAAATGATTTGCACGACATACTTTTTTGCTATATATGGCCCTGTACATAAACATTATTGCATGTCTTCTGTTTTTCTGAACATGCTTATGTGCACATGTGATCTCAGAACTCTGGGATAGTGAGGCTGGAGGTTGTAATCTTGCCTTCAACCTAGGCTTCTCAGAGACTCAAGAGAAGTCCTGAGTTTTGCAAGCATCTGTCAATAAATAAATAAATAAATAAATAAATAAATAATAAAGTTACAGCTGTACTCATTGTGTTCCCATGCCTGCTTTTCAGATTCTGAGTCATTACATTCTCATTCACTGTTTAAGAATTCTACTAATTGGACTGGGGAGTTAGCTCAGTAGAATACATGCTTCCCTGACCAGTGCAGGGTCCTGCATTCAGTCCCCAGTACCACAAAAAATAAATAAATGCATAAATAAATAAAATAAAGATTCCCACTAAAAATTTTGAATAAATATTTCTGAATAAAGTTATAAGTGTTTATGGGTTACTGATCTTTAATGCTATGGACAGTATATTTGAATTCAATATTTTCCATATATTTTAAGTTAATAAAACCTTATTTCTATTCTGTATTCAATTTTTGTGTATGTATCTGCAATACAAGGAGTTTCCTAAATGAAAGATTGAGAGAGTGGTTATAACGACGACAGCAAGGACGGGTGGGTGGAAATGAGTCTGAAAAGCACAAAAGGGTGACCAGAGTTCCTGGATTGATGGATGGGACTAAGGAGTGAAGGAGAAAGAGGGAGTAAACCCAAAGAAAAATGGAAAGATGGAGAAATTTATGCTTTATCCATCTTCAAATCCTTCTAGTAGATTCCATCAAAACTATAATACATTTAGACCGGCGAGGTAGCTCAGCAGTCTAAAGCTCCTGCTTAGGAAAAGTGCAGGGACCTTGGTTTGATCCTGGTACAACTTGCCATGCCAACCCCACCCCCATGGTGATCTGCATTGACCACAAAAAAAGAAAAGGAAAAGGAAAAAAACTTCAGTACATTTAAAGCACAAATAAAACAACTTCACATTGTCCTATTTGAGGTAAACTTAAAGAATGACAGCCGTTCCCCTGGTGTTCCCACAGCTCTGCAGATCCCCAGCTCCTGGTATGACTGACTCACCTGCTAAAGTAAATTCTTAATTATCTGGCCACTTAGCTTGCTTTCCTATGGCTCTGTTTTCTATATTTCCAAACTCTAGGGCTTTTCTACTAGGCACCTTCAATCTTTTCCAGATTGCACCCACAAACCAGGTCCAAATGCTTTCAAACCATATGATCAGGTACAGTGACAGCAATGACTCCAATTGTCTGATAGAAAATATCAATATTAGTCACTGCTGAGATAAAATACAGAATACCTGCCACCTAGAGGAAGAGGTGTGGAGGAGGCGTTTGTTTGGTTTTTGGTTTCAGTTGCAGGTCAGCAGGTAGTGAGTCAGAAAATGCAGCACTGAAGAACATGACAGAAGAACCTTTTCAAGCATAGCAGCCAGGGTGCGAGGAAATTCGGGGGATCCAGAAACAAGGGCTCAGGTCCTCATGCTATATCCTCAGCAAGCCACCTCCGGCCAGGCCCCACCTGCTAACAACACATTTAGGACCTAAAGCCACCTGGAGATGAATCTGCTGATGAAGATGGGGCCCCATGATGCAGTCACTTTCCAAACACAAGATTGTTGAGGGACACAGAGATTTTGGGGAAAATGAAGCAGAATGAAGGGAATTTTTTAAGCACTTGCTGGCTGTCAGAATCATACTAGACCCTCTGTGCTGTATTCTGCAGCAGCTTTAATAGAAGGCATTATTCTCCACTATCTTACAGGTTGAAAGTGGAATATTCAAAGAGAAAAGTGATTCACTGAGGACATTCTTCTAGAAACCTTCCAGAATTAATAATGAAAAAAAGGAGATCTCTAAGGCATATCCTTATCCTCATGTTATGCTGGCAGACACCAAGGCACATCCACTCTTCAATCTGTGTGAAGTCCAACTTTGTTGACCCCTCCTAAAAGGGGACAATATGTGCAAGCTTACACAGTTGAAATAAAAGAAATTCTACTAAAGAAATCAGAACAGTATGTCTGATTTTTACTGAGTACTTGCTTATTTAAAAATAAATGGGATTTTGTGTAAAATTCCTTTTATTGAATTGGTTCTTGCTTTTGAAAAATCAGCATATATCAGAGCAAAATGAGTATTTCCCACCTCAGTTTCGTGAATTACCCCAACAATAACAACTACGGCTGCAGGTCATGTGTGATTTCATGCCCTTTCATGGCTGCTAAATGAAACTCTATGGCTGCTTCATTCCAGATGATGAGGCCAAATACAACAGGGAGTGCATGTCATAGCGCTCCTTTTCTTTTCCATAGCTTAAAGTAATCATGTGTATAAAATTGACTAAAAACATCAGCAAAAATTATAGGCTACTTATAATGTAAGCACTAAAGGATTCCCCAAATTGCAAGTCTCCAAGCCAGTACTCCAAGATTCGAGTGTTCATTAAACAAGAAATTGCACTGAATTCTGGTGCTCTCTGGTGTCTAATATGTTGTTGAGCCCTTTAAAGAAGGGGTAGGCAAGAGGTAAGCACTGAGAGGGATGAGCAGTCAGGTGTTCCTAAAATCTGGGAAGATGAGGAGGAGAGAGCACTGCAGAACTAGGAAGGGGCAAGCTTCTTCTTATGTCATAGGTAGAAAGGAGTTTTGGTAGATAAATGACAAGGCCAGAGGAGTGGTTTAGTACAATTCAGCAGAGAAAGTGTATCCAAAGATGGTTAAAATAGATCAGATGCTTATGACATTATTTCCCCAGGCCTGCTTACTTCCTACATTCTTGAGTCAGATCACTGGAACATTTTACTTGTTTATTTATTTATTTGGTACAGGGTCTCGCTACCCAGCTCTGACTCATAGTGATCCTCCTGTCTCAGCCTCCCCATCACTGGCATTACTGGCATGCACTACCATACCCAGTTTTGGTGGCCTGCTCAGTGCCCAGGGATGGCAAAGCATGTGGTACCGGGGATCAGACCTGGTTCCTTGTGCTTGCCAGGCAGGTGCTTAGACCACTGAGCTATCTCCCTAGGCCCAGAACAGCAAAATAGGGTTCTAAATCTTCCTTGTAATGTGGAAGGATGTTTATAATAAAAGCAAACTCCAGTTTTAGCATAAGAAATGTCATTTAAGTTTGACACAGTTCCCAGTGACGTGCAAAACAGAGTTTATAGTATTTCCAGGAGGAACAGGAAAAGATAGGACGTGCTCTATCAATCCCTGAAACTCACTAATGGCATTTGGATTTTGGCCAGGCGATGCATGCAACCAACAGACCCTATTATACACTGTCACTCAAATATAGAGCTCCTGAAATCTCTAAATGCATCCATCAGTTCTCAGATAGCACTTTGACAAACTAAGAAATTGGCCCAGCACCCACCAGCCCCGCTGATTGGTGCAAGAAAGAACTCCTAAATAGAAGAAAAGGTATTGTTGTGTAGAATCTGAATCAAAACCTACCAAGGCCACCCACAAAGTAGTGAGTACTGTATTCTGCAAAATATAGAACACAAACTCTTGGGTAGTTTTATCTTCCTACGAATATTTGTAGTCACTGCTTCAAGACTTCCTATCTCCTGCCACCTGCTGCTGTCTGTCTATATTCATGGACTTCTTCATATTTTGACAAAGTCTGGCTGTTTCTACACCCTCTTTTTAAAGTTAAGCTTATTGATATATTGTAGGTATCATCCTAATTATCATTCATAATTTGTATCTATGCACAACACATTTTGATTCATCTTTTTCTCCCAATGCCCTCTCTTCCCTTCAATCGCTCATCTCATCCCCTCGTGATTGGAAAAGCTTTGTTTCCATTTATACTTTTTAAATCATTGTTTATTCTCTTCTCCTTCCTCTCCCTACTCTATTTCCCATTTCCTTGTAAACAATTGCTTTCTGTCTATTGTATATTTTGACCCTTAGTTACTGCTCTGGTATCTCATGCCAGGGTGACAATACAATATTTGTAAACTGAGTCCAATTGATAACTGAGTCC